TTTTCAGTTGTCAGAATTAATTAATTAATTTGAAGCTACATTTTCTTTAGGGTAAAAGTGTTTGTTGGATAGAATGGTTGAATTGCAATTTTGTTTTAGACAATCAGAAGAATAACTTTCTTTCATGTCTCTTTTATTTCCGGTAACGTGACTCATATCATTTACAGCTATAGTCTTAGGTGCCTCTGGAGGATCTATAATATATATAGTTTTACATTTATATTTCCTGTGCTTCACTAATGAGATGTGCGTGTACATAGTTTATGTTATTTTAATTATTTTCATCCAAAAGCTTGAAGTCATTTGTATTGATTCATGCACGGTAAACACTTCATGCAAGATCTGTGTATGATTCATAGCTTATTTGAATATCTAAACAAAGTTCTTTTCTTATTTTCCATGACTATTTTCTTAAACTTTGACCTATTCTGCTTCAGCCTACAACTCACAGGTAATAGGTTCTTGTTTTATTAGATTTATATTTTTTTTTTACTCTCTATTTTAAGGGAGCTCCCCCTCCTCTTATCCGTCTCCTCTTTATGCTGAAAATGTAAGACTGAGGAACCATTTTTAATGATAAGTGATGTAGCATAGGTTAAGAAATTCAGAACTTGTGGAAGTTGAAAGAAAAGCAGTAGAAGAAGTAGAACACATACAGTAGAAGAGGAGGAGGAGGAGGAGGAGAGAAGAAAAGGGAGGATGCCTGCAACACTCCAATTTTCATTTCATTTCCATCAATCTCTGCCATGCAACAGGCTGCATACATATATATAATATACAAACAAAGAGATTGGGCTTGGGCCAGCCCAAAACACTATACAAGCTCAAAGCAAAATAAAAGGCCTGGGCCAATACAAAAACATAAAATAAGCCCAAATAAAATACTAAACTAAATAGTCCAAAGTAGATGTCCTCATCAACTCTTCCGGGGTGGGAAAAAACTTGACTCTGTCGAGAGAATAACTCACAAAATGCTGCAATCAGTTGCCCAACCATAAGTTGAGTGGTTGGACAAACCTCTTCCGACGTCCATATACACGTGTGATAGGTGGTCTGGGCAATGGGAAATCATGCTAACTCCTATAAAGCTCCAACAAGTCAGGATCAAGCTGCTAGAGTGTCTCTCTAGATATCCATGTACAATCAGAGTCAGGTCGGCCTACCCAACGAACAAGAAAGCGCTGAATTTCTCCATTATTAGTCAACATAATCTGTTCATCTAAAATAGCATCAATCTTTTCTTTGGGTATTGTGATAGGGGGTGTTGAAGTAGAGGTAGCAACAGGTTCGGGTTGAGGGTCAACAAATGGGGGTAGAAAAGGATCATCAAAGGGCTTAAAATGACCTTTATAAGCAACTAAATCCTCAACATTAAAAGTAGAGTGGTAGCCAAAATGTGATGGAAGATCAATGACATACGCATTTGAACCAACACGCTTTAAAATTTTAAAAGGACCAGCGCTACGGGTTTGCAATTTGAAAACGGATCCAAATGGACGCCGTTCCGGTCTAATTCGGATCATCACATAATCCCCAATATTAAATTGAAGATGCCGTTTTTGCAAATCACTTCGAAGTTTATATGATGCATTACTTGCCTCTAGTTGTTTATTGATCTCAATATGCAAGTCATGAAGATGTTGTACAAATGTCTCAGCTGACACAGACACATTAGCATGTGGGGACATAGGGATAAGGTCTAAAGGCTTCCTAGGTTTATAACCATAAACAATTTCAAAAGGACTCATGCCTAAAGATCGATTCACAGAACTGTTATATGCAATTTGGGCTATCGGGAGGATTAAATCCTAGTTCCTCAGATTTTCCTGAACTAGACATCTTAATAGGTTATCAAGACTGCGATTAACAACTTCAGTTTGACCATCGATCTGAGGATGATACGTAGTGGAAAATTGCCCAAAAAAATATTATATTTTCTAACATTGTTTTGCAGGTAGGTACCTCTTATTTTTCTGTTGATCGATCCAGTTACTTCAGCGAGCAAAAAAAAGGGAAGTTACTATTTTTATCTATATTTGGTCTATATTACTGTTAATTTAAAATCGCATCAATTAATTTTCTGTTCTGCTATTACATTACTTTTCCTGAAATTACATGATTGGACCATTGTTAAACCCCACTTTTATCCTACTTATTTTACGTGATTAGATTTTGACTGGTAATTTGACCGTCGCTTTGTTATTTTACATCTATCAGCAGTATTAGCTTGCCATATTTGAACTTACTTAATCCCAAACCTTTAGTTTAAATGCTCAAATTGCTATTTTCCGTTACTTGCACTTGTTGTTTATTGATCTCTCCATCGCAAGTCATTTAGCTGGTATTACATTGCATGCAGTCACGTAGTGGTCGTCTAGTCACACCTAGTGCTAGTACATTTACCATGGACCCCTCACAGTTTGATGCACTCACTAAACAATTAGCTCAGCTTGTTACTAGCCAGCAATATTTACAGACTCAAATAGCGGCTGTCCAAATCGAGATGGCTGCTACTCGTGAAGAGAGTAGAGACCTAGTTGCTAGGTTGGACAATTTTGAACAAACCCCTCGTTCGACTGACGTTGATAACTCTAAAGTGTCTCGTAATGTTCACTATTATCATCAACCAGGTGGTCGACAACATCCTCGACGTAAGCAAAGGAATGGAGACCAGAGTCGTGAGCGAGAACGAGGCCATGGCCGTCGCGATTATCATTCTCCTCCACGTCATGACGAGCGTTACTTTAGAAACATCAAATTAGACGCTCCTACTTTTGATGGTTGCTTAGATCATAGAGTTTTTACTCAGTGGATTAGAGACATGGATTGTTTCTTGGCATGGTATGGAGTCCTAGAGGATCGACGTGTCCAATTTGCTAGTTTGAAATTAACTGGCACCGCCCAACTCTTCTGGGAAAGTGTTGAGGATTTCCTTGAGAGGCGTCGTGCACCTCCAGTTGAAAGTTGGGAGGAAATGAAGCGTCGCCTTCAAGAAAAGTATTTGCCCCAATCTTACAGGGGCAACTTGTTGGACCAATCGAATACCCTTACACAGGGAAATTGACCAGTGATTGACTATGTTACTCAATTTGATGAATTTAGAATGCGAGGTTATGTCGTTGAAAATGAGGCAATGACTTTGTGTAGGTTTAGACAGGGCCTAAAAGATGATCTTAGGTGTGAGCTTATACTTCGAGGTGTCACTACCCTTGATCATGCTTATTCTTTAGTCCAAGATTATGAGTTGGTCACTAAGACTCCATATGGACGGCATGTTGACAATCGTCCTTCCGTCTCATCCGTGCCAGCTCCGCCTGTTAAGTCCCTCCTAGGGCCTTCCCCATCCAATGTCCCCCATGTGTTGGAAAATAAGGGTAAAGCTCCCGAAATTTCAAAAACTTCTTCTTGCCAGCAGTGCTTCAATTGTAAAGGCTTTGGTCATATCGCATCTAGATGTCCTAGTCGAGCTTTAGTCATTGAGGAACGAAAGGATGTAGAAGGTGAGTCATTAGAAGATCAAGTCTATGAACCTAAATTTGAAGAGCTTGATAATTTGGATGATATTGAGGGTACCTTGTTAGGTTGCATCCGAACCTTCCCTGTAGATCTAGGTTCTGTGACCTCTGTCCCCGACACCTCGCGGCTAAGTGTTGTACGTTGTACCCTTACTCACCCTAAAGATGCTGATGATTGGCGTCGTCACGTCATTTTTCACACTTATATCAAGATCAATAACAAGGGTTGTAGGGTTGTAAAATTATTGTGGATAGTGGTAGCTGCATTAATGCAGTTTTTGTGGCTACGGTGTCCCATCTTGGATTACAGCCAGTCCCACACCTCAACCTTATAGCGTCTCTTAGGTTGACACTTCTTCTATTGCCGTAAACGAGCGTTGTTTGTTTCCTATCCAGTTTCTTGAATACAAAGATCATATATGGTGCGACGTCATTCCCATGGACGTAGGAACACGTCATTCTTGGTCGACCCTAGTTGTTCGATTTAGATGTCACTATCCATGGTCGGTCAAATTCATGTTCCTTTGTGTTCAATGGGAAGAAGATTCACATTAATCCTTTACCTCCAAAACCTGTTGATTCACAACAGACGATTAGCCCTACAGAATTTGAGCGTACACTCAAAGAGGATTCTGTTGTATTTGCCGTGGTCGTCATGGAAGTTCCATCAGAATCTCCAATATTGACCCCCTGATGAGGTCCAATCAGTTCTTCAAGAGTTTCGAGATGTCTTTCCTGAAGACCTCCCTGATTTATTGCCCCCTTTACGGGACATTCAACATGCTATAGATCTTGTCCCTGGATCGTCTCTTCCAAATTTACCTCGTTATAGAATGAATCCTACTGAGCACGCTGAGCTTCAGAAGCAAGTAGAGGAGCTCCTTCACAAAGGATTTATTCGTAAGAGTCTAAGTCCTTGTACGGTTCCCGCCCTCTTGACTCCTAAGAAAGATGGTTCTTGGAGAATGTGTGTTGATAGTCGTGCCATCAATAAGATCACAGTGAAGTACCGTTTTTCAATCCCTTGGCTTGATGATATGTTGGTTATGATAGTCGGTGCCACGATATTTTCTAAGATTGATTTAAAGAGTGGGTACCACCAAATTAGGATTCGCCCGGATGACGAATGGAAGACTGCCTTTAAAACGAAGGATGGTCTTTATGAGTGGTTGGTCATGCCTTTTGGGCTAACCAATGTCCCGAGTACTTTTATGAGAGTAATGACACAAGCTTTGCGACCATTTATGGGTAAATTTCTCGTTGTCTACTTGATGACATTCTCGTGTACAGTAAAACTAGGGAACAACATAGAGATCATCTCACGCAGGTTTGTTCTACCCTTCGCGCTACAAGCGTGTATGCTAATGTGAAGAAATATTTTTTCTTCACAGATAAAGTTGCGACAGGAGTGTCTGCTGACCCTGTAAAGATTCAGGCTATTGTTGGTTGGCTTGAGCCCAAGACTATACATGACGTTCGGAGTTTTCATGGTTTAGTTACCTTTTATCGTCATTTTATTAAAGGGTTTAGCACGATCATGGCTCCTATTACGAAGTGCGTGAAAAGAGGGAAATTTTATTGGTCGCATGAAGCGGCCAAAGCATTTAAGTTGGTTAAGAGGCGAATGACAGAAGCTCTAGTCATGATTCTTCTCGATTTTTCCTAAGTTTTTGAGGTAGAATGTGATGCCTCTGGGGTAGGGATAGGTGAAGTTTTGAGCCAAGAGCGCCATCCTATTGCTTATTTCAGTGAGAAATTAAATGATGTAAAACGACAGTACTCGACTTATGACAAGGAGTTGTATGTAGTCGTACAAGTTTTACGTTATTAACGTCATTACTTGTTGCCTCAGGAATTTTTTCTTTATTTAGACCATGAGGCACTTCGCTACCTTAATTCCCAAAAGAGGTTGAATGCTAGGCATAATCGTTGGATCGAGTATTTGCAAGCCTACTCTTTTGTTTTGAAGCATAAAAAGGGCAGTGAAAATCAAGCGACGGATGCTTTGAGCCACCGTATTTCACTTTTAACCAATATTAGTGTGAAGGTCATAGGTTTTGAACGACTCAAAGAAGATTATCAGTCATGTCCCGATTTCAAGGACATTTTCCTTGCGTTGCAAAGTGGACAATTGGATGCTACTGATGGTTTTCGTCTAGAGGATGGTTATCTTTTTAGGTCCAATAAATTGTGCATCCCTCGGACTTCAGTACGAGACTTTATAGTTTGGGAAAGTCATGCGGGAGGCTTGGCTGGGCATTTTGGACGTGATAAGACAATCGAAGAGGTTGAACGTCAATTTTATTGGCCTCGTTTGAAGACAGATGTAGCTAAGATTGTTAGTGCTTGTAACACCTATCAGTTGGCCAAACAGAAGAGACAAAATACTGGTCTTTACAAACCTCTTCCCGTCCCTAATTGTCCTTGGCAAGACGTCAGTATGGATTTTGTACTAGGACTCTCACGTACTCCAAAGAAATATGATTCTATTTTTGTTATAGTGGACCGCTTCTCGAAAATGGCCCACTTTATCCCTTGCAGCAAGATTTCAGATGCGTCTAAGGTTGCTAGGCTGTACTTTAATGAGATTGTTAAATTATATGACCTTCCTAAGATCGTTGTGTTGGATAGAGATGTTCGGTTCACTAGCCACTTTTAGAGAACCTTATGGCACATGGTTAGCACTAAGTTGAAATTTTTCACTGCGTATCATCCTCAGATCGATGGTCAAACTGAAGTTGTTAATCGCAGTCCTGGTAACCTATTAAAATGTCTAGTTCAGGAAAATTTGAGGAACTGGGATTTAATCCTCCCGATAGCTCAAATTGCATATAACAGTTCTGTGAATCGATCTTTAGGCATGAGTCATTTTGAAGTTGTTCATAGTTATAAACCTAGGAAGCCTTTAGACCTTATCCCTATATCCCCACATGCTAATGTGTCTGTGTTAGCTGAGGCATTTGTTCAACATGTTCGTGACTTGCATATTGAGATCAATAAACAACTAGAGGCAAGTAATGCATCATATAAATTTCGAGTTGATTTACATAATCATCATGAATTTAATATTGGGGATTATGTGATGATTCGAATTAGACCGGAACGGCGTCCATCTAGATCCGCTTCCAAATTGTAAGCCCGTAACGCTGATCCTTTTGAAATTTTAAAGCGTGTTGGTCCAAATGCATATGCCATTGATCTTCCATCACATTTTGGCTACCACTCTACTTTTAATGTTGAGGATTTAGTTGCTTATAAAAGTCATTTTAAGCCCTATGATGATCCTTTTATATCCCCATTTGTTGACCCTCAACCCGAACTTGTTGCTACCCCTACTTCAACCCCCCTATCACAATACCTAAAGAAAAGATTGATGCTATTTTAGATGAACAGATTATGTTGACTAATAATGGAGAAATTTAGCTCTTTCTTGTTCGTTGGGTAGGCCGACCCGACTCTGATTGTACATGGATATCTAGAGAGAGACTCTAACAACTTGATCCTGACTTGTTGGAACTTTATAGGAGTCACAGCATGATCTCCCATTGCCCAGACCACTTTTCACACGTGTATATGGATGTTGTAAGAGGTTTGTCCAACTATTCAGCTTATGGTTGGGCAATTGATTGCAGCCTTTTGTGAGTTATTTTCTTGACGAAGTCGAGTTTTCTCCCACCCCAAGAGAGTTAATGAGGACATCTACTTTGGACTATTTAGTTTAGTATTTTATTTGGGCTTATATTATGTTTATGTATTGGCCCAGGCCTTTTATTTTGCTTTGGACTTGTATAGTGTTTTGGGCTAGCCCAGTCTCTTTGTTTATATATTATATATATGTATGCAGCCTATTGCATGGGCAGAGATTGATGGAAATGAAATGAAAATTGGAGTGTTGCAGGCATCCTCCCTTTTCCACTGCCCCTTCCCTTTTCTTCTCTCCTCCTCCTCCTCTTCTCTTCTTCTACTGTATGTGTTCTACTTCTTCTATTGCTTTTCTTTCAACTTTCACAAGTTCTGAATTTCTTAACCTATGCTACATCAATAAGGAACCTCTTTCCTGTAATTGATCTTTTAGTCAGTGTTTTTCGTAACAAAGACGCTATTTAACCTACTGTAAATTACAATTCCAAAAGATTAATAGTCTCTGCTTAGTTTATTGGCTTGCTTTTAGCTTATCAAGGAAAAATGGAGAAATTCTGAACCTTTTGTCTAAGAAATAATCTTACTGTCAGAGCAAATGTTTCAATGAGTGAAAATAGTACGCTATGCTGATATGTCCATAGCAAGTAAGATTTAGACCTCTTGCTACAAACTATAATGACCTTTCACATGCTCTGTGGGAAGAGGTAAAAGATGTACTTGACTTCCATTACCATTGACTAAGTACTTAAATTGGCATTATTCTATTTTATTCGCGGATTGACCCATGTTTTTATTGCACATTCCAGGGAGCCTAAGACCCATTCTGTGGGTCAATTTATGAGCTCTCTTAAGTTGCATTAAAGGATTTCTGTACGATGAAAATTGCCAGTAATGATGGTCAACAAAATGTTTATTTTTTATGGATTCTGGTGATCAAATAAATTGTTGTTCGAACTTTATCAATGATGATCATTCGGATTTCTGGCATCCATCTTATTGCATACCTTAAATTTACTTTATCGCTTTCTTTGGAATATGAATGCTCATGGTCAATTTAGCTATGACGCTGATCTAATCATTGAAATATAATCACTGCAGAATACAGAATGTCTCGGAGGTATGACAGTCGTACTACAATCTTCTCTCCTGAAGGTCGTCTCTATCAGGTAGAATATGCGATGGAGGCCATTGGGAATGCGGGGAGTGCCATAGGAATATTGTCTAAAGATGGGGTTGTGTTGGTTGGTGAAAAGAAAGTGACTTCCAAGCTTCTACAGACCTCGGCATCGACGGAGAAGATGTACAAGATTGATGACCATGTCGCGTGTGCTGTGGCTGGAATTATGTCTGATGCCAACATCCTTATTAACACTGCCAGAGTCCAAGCTCAGCGATATACCTATGCTTACCAAGAACCAATGCCAGTTGAACAACTTGTTCAGTCTTTGTGCGACACCAAGCAAGGCTACACTCAGTTTGGTGGGCTCCGTCCATTTGGTGTCTCTTTCCTTTTTGCAGGCTGGGATAAAAATTATGGGTTCCAGCTCTACATGAGCGACCCAAGTGGAAATTACAGTGGTTGGAAGGCTGCAGCAATTGGATCAAACAATCAGGCAGCTCAATCAATGCTTAAGCAGGACTACAAGGATGAAATCACGAGGGAAGAGGCCGTTCAGCTTGCTCTTAAGGTACTCAGTAAGACAATGGACAGCACTAGTCTTACTTCAGAGAAACTCGAATTGGCTGAGGTCTTCCTTTCTAATGGAAAAGTGAAGTATCAGGTCTGCTCACCAGGGACCTTGAGTAAGTTGTTAGTGAAGTTTGGAGTGACCCAACCTGCTGCCGATGCCTCTTAATATCTGTATTCTCCTTTGTTTTCAAGAACCGTTTTACTGCTGCTTTTAGTTATGTTTTCATTTTATGACTTCCAAGAATTATATAATGACTTGATGCTGTATTACAATTGCTTCTCATTTTCAACCTTGTCTGGTTGGTTCTGGAAATGTCAGATTACTAGATTTTAATTTTTATGCCATAGTGAAAAACAAGACATTTTCGTTTCAAAACCATCAATTTCTGCAGGATGTTTTTGGTTCTTGGCTATGTCAGTAATTGCTTTAAAGCATGAATGGTAACTTGAGCATATTAACTTGATGTATATCCATAAATGAGACCACAGGGTTAATCTGAAAATCAACCAGGTATTTTATTTTTTTCCTGATAACGCGGGAACCTGCAGCTGCTATCCTTTTGGTGTGTACTGGGTAAACCCTAAAAATCAACTAGGTATTTTTGAATATCAAAACGATAGTCCCTCAAAATAATGCTTCTTGACTATACCCCGGATGAACATGTGCATAGAATAGATCTTGATATTATGTCTACTTCTGAAAATAGGATATAGAAAGTTACAAAATTGAAGTCAAACATTGTTTGAGTGTTGCCTTACTGCTAACCCATACCATTCAATGGAAAAGTCCAAGAGAGGCTGCTATCGACCATCAAGATGCCTTTCGGCTGTCCCGTTTGACATTAAATATGAAATAGCATGCCAGTTGATAAACCAACTCTTATCGAAGACTTTAACACAAAAAATAAAAATTTATGATCCCACCACGATAAGAGATTCAGCTGTCCAAATCTCAGCAACTTGTTGGTTCTCTCTCACAAATATCTAAAGGCAAAATACAACAAAATGGGGCAAAAAATCTCAATTGTCACTATATTTTCAACATTATTTTTCGACCGTCTTTAACCTTTTAAAAAAAATCTAACAATTAGGGTAACTTCAACATTGTTTTCCACCCATTACTATGTCTACTTTGCAACGTTAACAATTTCAATGATGTGGCAAATGGAATATTTAATTTTTAAATAATTTAGAGTGATGAATGGAAAACAACTTTAAAGTTACAATGATTGCTTAGAAACAAATTTGAAAGAATATTGAAAATTAAGTTTAGTGACTTTGGGGAAACAACTTTCTTTTATTGTAACTATTCAGAAAAAAATTTAAAATTTACAGAAGTGTCCTCAATTAAAATTTTAATAAATTTTAAAATATTACAATTCTAATAAATTTTATAGATTTGAAAAGATTTTTACAAATTCCATCAGACTCTCATCAAATATGTGAGGGTGCCCTCAATTGAGATCATGATGAATTTTAAAAATCTTTCTAAATTTAGGAGCTCTCAATTAAGATATTAGAAATTTTTTAAAATTTAGGTGTCTCCAATTAAGATTTTAATGAAGTTCAACGAAATCGTTTAAAATTTAGGTATTTTTAATAAGTAGTGGATTTAAAAAGATTTGATTAATAGAGGAATTTTAAAATATTTGGATGAATTTCAAGCTTAAAATTACATATAACTAAATTTTTTGAAATTTCACCATACTTTATAAGATTTTTATGAAATTTGTGAACATCTATTCAAATACATAAAATTTATTAGGATTTATAATATTTTAAAATTCATCAAAATCTTAGTTTGAAGACACACTCATTAGTGAAATTTCAAAAGATTTGGTTATATGTATTTTTAAAATTGAAATCCATCCAAATCTTTTAAAATTCCTCTATTAATGAAATCTTTATAAATCCACTAGTTATTAAAGATATCTAGATTTTAAAGATTTCATTGAATTTCATTAAAATCTCAATTGAAGACAGCTAAATTTTAATGAATTTTATTAAAACACATTAAAATCTTGATTGAGAACACCTAAATTTAAAAGAATTTTTAAAATTTATCACAATCTCAATTGATGACACCCCTTAATGACGGGTGACAAAAAACTTTGAAAGTTTACCCCAAGAAAATGATACATATTTCACAGCAAATAATTCCCATCCAATTACTTGAGTAGAGCGATAAGTTATATAACAGGGATCCAACTGGCTAAACAAGGTGACCTAGAGAAAAGAAAAATAGAACAGGAGTGAGCTCAGTTGGAGACATGGCTGAAAAGATTCATCCAAGAAATTATTGGAGATGGAGCAAACAAGATTTCTTCCCGGAAAAATCTTTTGAAGATTGGAGTAACTACCGATCTGCCCTATCACAGACAAGTTCAAGATTCAAGGACCGCCTTGTAAGTAGGTCCGATGATGCACAAGAGCTTGTGGAACTTCGAAAACAGAGCGAGAATGAAATGAAACGTTGCCTTAACTGGTGGGACCTCATCTGGTTTGGATTCGGTGCAGTAATTGGAGCTGGCATCTTTGTACTTACTGGCCAAGAAGCACACAATCACGCAGGCCCAGCCATTGTCTTATCATATGTTGTTTCAGGCATTTCTGCAATGCTCTCTGTTTTCTGCTATACCGAATTTGCAATAGAAATTCCTGTGGCTGGAGGATCATTTGCTTACCTGAGAGTAGAACTAGGAGACCTTGCAGCCTTTATAGCAGCAGGAAATATACTTCTTGAATCAGTTGTCGGAGGTGCAGCGGTCGCTAGAGCTTGGACTTCATACTTCACAAGTCTTTTGAACCGTTCTCCCAACTCATTACGCATACATACAAGTCTCAATGATGGATATAACCTTTTGGATCCGATTGCTGTTGGAGTTCTCGCAATTGCATCAACAATTGCAATGGCCAGTGCAAGGAGAGCTTCCTGCATAAATTGGATTGCATCAGCAGTAAATACTTTGGTGATTTTATTTGTGATAATTGCAGGATTTGCTCATGGCAATGCATCCAATATGAAACCTTATTTGCCTCATGGTGCCCAAGGGGTCTTCCAAGCGGCAGCAATTGTGTACTTTGCCTATGGAGGATTTGACACCATTGCAACCATGGCAGAGGAAACAAGAAATCCATCAAGAGACATACCATTAGGATTGCTAGGGTCGATGTCGTTGATCACTGTGATATATTGCTTGATGGCACTTTCATTGACCATGATGCAGAAGTACACAGATATAGACCCTGATGCAGCTTACCCGGTCGCATTTCAGAGAGTGGGTATGCACTGGGCTAAATACCTGGTTGCCCTTGGAGCTCTCAAGGGGATGACCACAGTTCTTCTGGTAGGAGCTCTTGGGCAGGCACGTTATACTACTCATATTGCACGAGCACACATGATTCCTCCATTTTTTGCACTTGTCCATCCAAGAACAGGAACCCCGATATACGCTACACTGCTAATCACCATTTTGAGTGCCTGTATTGCCTTTTTTTCTAGCTTGGATGTCTTGTCAAGTTTGTTATCTGTGAGCACGCTCTTTATCTTCATGATGATGGCTGTTGCACTTCTGGTGAGAAGGTACTACGTAAGAGGAGTCACTCCAAGAACAAATCTCTTGAAGTTAGTTATTTTTTTATTGCTCATCATTGCATCCTCCATGGGCACTTCTGCTTACTGGGGATTAAACCCTAGTGGATGGATTGGTTACACCATTACTATTCCGCTTTGGTTCGTCGGGACTATGGGGATTGCAGTGCTTTTGCCACAAGAACGAACACCAAAGGTCTGGGGAGTTCCACTTGTTCCATGGTTCCCATCCTTGTCAATTGCAATAAACTTGTTTCTCATGGGATCGTTAGGAGCTCGGACTTTCATAAGATTTGGCATCTGCACAGTTGTAATGTTAGTATACTACATCTTTTTCGGCCTCCATGCTACTTATGACATGGCTCATCAGCAAAACAAAACAGTATCTTCAAAATCTCCAGAAGAAGATGGGGTAGAGCAACCAGGGCCGTAAAACTATCAATATCTTGTTCTCTTTTAACAAATGCTTTTAGTATCTATTTCTGTAATAGCAAGTATAAAGAAATTAGAAATCAAGTGATCTACCAAGCAACAACGATGAGAAAGACCTGAGAGGAAAAATGATAAGACCAAACATCACTCAATAAATGTGCATGTGTAATACACAAGAGAACAAAGAAACTGAAATAAAATTTGAATTTTACTAAGTATATAGTCCAGACAAACATCATTGTGCATGTTCAAGAATTCTCAAGTAACCATTCACCATTTTTTGTTGCAATCCTAGTCCAGCTGTGATACTACATTCTAAAAGCAAATTTTACCGAGGCGCTAAAATATACCTACTTCATGGCTCAAGCTAATTCACTGAGGTATTGTGAAACAAATTTGAATTGACTGCACGTAGAGTGAGGAATTTTACCTTCTAAATAAAATATAGCTGTTTAATGAATTACCAATTATTCAGCCCCATCTCAGGTGAATGAATAAAATTAATGTGAATAAGTTACGCATAGTTGCCAAAGCACGATATAACTAAGCTAAAGAAAAGAGACTGGGTGTCATGGTGAAACCTTTGCTTGCAACATATTACCAAGCTCCTCAAACATTCATCTCAGAAAGAAATTTTTATGTTCTGATATCTTCTTTTTGAAGTATTTCAATCTTCACAACCACTTTAAATCTTGAAAATTCTTCATGACCCCTATAAATTTTCAGCATTATGGCTTCATTAGGTGACAACATTGGCAATGATTCAAAACCAATTTGCTGATCGTACCCCGATGACTCTCAGATAAGAGGGTTAACAAAGTCCGCAGTTCTTTGAAAGAAAAATGTCTTAACAAAATAGTGTAGCATAAATTGCAGTATTGGAAAGGTTAAAATTCATCTCAATATGGTATAAAAAACATGATTTGATACTAACTAGGTACTAGATAACGAAGTAGATGTGAAAACCAACTTTCAAATCACCATTCAAAGAATCAAAATGTAAATAGCCCACTACAAAATCTCTTTCTGAAGAGTCTCTAGAATAATAGCTACAAATTAATAAAATCCCTAATAATCAATCATGTGTGTTCCTAAATCACAGATGATTGTCTTGTTTGCATCAAAATTCTCAGCACAGCACACAATTATATAAAGGTAGGATTACCCCGAAAAGAATGCGTTTCATTTTTCTACAACATGTTCACGTCTAGGAGATGAGTAATGCCACCCAGAAATGCGAATATGGTATAATAATTAAAAACTGCCTGACTCGAAAAGGGGGGAAATTATTCAGCAGCCTTGCAGTTCTCAGTCCTAGAGATTTATGTAGCAGTAGTAAGACCAAAAACATAAAACTTCCATAAACGTTTGAAGTCATAAAAGGAGCCAGCGAATCTATCCCCCATCTTTTAGTGATCATTAGAAAATACATTGCATGACACTTTGGCATGAAAAGAAAGTAATGATCAAAGAAGCCACACCTCTGAAATCAGCTAAAATAATTCATTCCAACAATTGTCAATGGCTGTTTGAATCTTCTTTGGTTTACAAAATCCACGAATAACTTTTTCCCAAGTGGAGGCTTTAGGTTGAAGAAACTTATGAAGCATCACTTCTATAATTTTGGAAGCTGCTGTAACACGATGCCTTTTGTATAACCGTAGCACTAGCTCATCCAGAAACTCACTACCATTTTGTGGCGGATTTAGCTTCTCCTTTAAAGTAGTCAAGAAAATGTTGCATGTAACTGAGTCAGGATCACAACCTTGCTCCAACATGTTATTTAAAAGATCAATGGCACGAGAAAGGCTATCCTGTTTGCACAAAGCATTAAGAAGAATGTTATAGGTAACTACATCGGGTTTGGATCCAGACTCCTTGCATAGCATCTCATTGAATAATTTTAAGCCCTGTTCTACTGACCCAGCGATGCAGAGACCATGAATCATTGAACTATAAGCCACAACATCAGGTGTATGTCCTTTACCAAACATATGCTTCCAAACCATCAGAGCCTCTTTCAGTTTCCCATCCTTGCACAGCCCACTGATAAGTACACTTTGACATACATTGTTATCCATACAATCAATCTCAGCTATCTCTTTCCACACAAGGAGTGCTTTATGACTCTTGCCAGTCTCGAAGAAACCCCTCATGAGGGAACTGTAAGTATAAGCATTTGGTTTGCAACCCACTTTAATCATCTCAGAAAGAACTTCTTCTGCTTCATTTGGCTTTCCTACCCGACATAAGCCATCTATAAGAGCACTATAAACAACTGTATTGGGCTTGCATCCCTTTCCCATCATCTCCTTCCACATTTTCACAGCCTGTTCAGGTTTTCCCATTTTGAACAATCCACTAACTAGGGCTGAGTAAACATATTCGTTCGCATTGTGCCCTTTTTCCTCCATGGCCAACAATACTCGTGCACCATCAACAGCTCTTCCTTGCTTTACAAGTCCATTTATAATAGTCCCATATGTAACATCATTGGGAATGCATTTATTCAACAACATCCTATCCAAAAGACTGGTTGCCTTGTCCAATTTCCCTTTGATACATAACCCATTTATAAGAGTGTTATAAGTCACTTCATTTGGAACACAACCTTTGAGAAACATATTATCCACTAGTTTTGCTGCTCGAACCAAGTCCCCCTTCTTGCAAAGCCCATCGATCAAGATGTTAAATGTAACTGGGCTTGGGAAACACCCTTCTATCTGCATCTCATCCAACAAAGCCACTGCCTCATCAATTCTATCCTCTTTACACAACCCATCCATCAATGTGCAATATGTGTACACATCTGGCACGGACTTCCAAACTGGCATTTCCCTAAACACACGTATAGCTCTATCAACTAATCCTAATTTACACAATGCTTTAACAACTAAATTAAATGTCAATACATTAGGGGAAATATTCTGTGTGCTAACAATTACATAATTATAGAACTCCATTGCACGACTATACAACCCTTCTTGAATTATCACGTTAAGAACCGAGTTAAATGACTTAACCGTTCGTTTACATTGAAATTCATCAACCATTCTACTAAACAGCTCAACTGCCTTTTCTGATAGGTGTGCTTTCCCATAAGCTCTAAACACCACAATAAAATTCTTTTCAATAAAAGCTCTTCTTTCACGTTTCATTCCACTAAAAACCAACTCCAAGGACGTAAAATCCCCAGACTTGGCATAATTCTCGATAAGGGAATAAAATGTGGAGTCACCGCGTCTGTAAGACCCCGACTTTGGGGCATGTCTGAATATTTTATCAGGAATCGGAGGATCTTTTTCAAAATCAAGACCTGAATTTTGTGGCGGCTCAATAATTTTACGGGAAACAGAGGGTACAACAAAAAATTGTGAATTTTGAATATCACGTTCAGTATTAGCGGAGGGTTTCGAAAGAGCTGAAGAATAAGGGCAAGAGTGCGACTTACATGGGATTGAAAAGAGCTTCAAAGTAAAGTGCTTTCTGTTAAATTTGGTGCTGGGCATTCCTGTAATCAATAGAAGTTAAGACTTCGTGCAAAATACTCAACATATTCTCAGAAATTCAAATGGGATTGTAGATAAAGGCATAACTATGGAGGGGGAAAAGTGGAGAGGTCCAGGAAGAATTGAATTCGATCGGGGTTTGGGAACCGGCTAGTGTAAACTGTCTGGGGCAATCCAAGTGCACGTTGGGCTAAGCTTAGAAAACAATAGGTCTCGTATAGGCTTCTCCAACGAATAAAGTAGTGATTTTTTATCTCCAACTTTTTTGGGAAATACATGAAAATAGCCTTTAGAAAAGGGCCACATTTTCAAAATGACCTTTGGTCAATTTTCATACAAAAAATGTCCTCAATTTGGATATTACATAATAAGACACTATAATATAGAAATCCTCTATTTTAGTCCTTAAAATTAAATATTGGTTGAAATTTGATAATTTTGATTAGTAATTTTAATTTGATTTATTTTATTTTTGTTCGCTCTAAATAGTCCCTTCTTATTCGTATCAGAGTAATAGAGATCATGAGAAAACGTATAAAAAATAGATTACTTGAAGAAGTAAAAATCTTTAAATTAACACTTAGATTTTATATAAGTTTAATAAATAACAGATTAACTATTAGAAAATTAAAGAGATATTTAAATTATACATCTTTAAAATAATAATTGATTATTATACACAAATATTTACATCTTGATAAAAGCATAGAGATCATGAAAATTAAAATAAGAAAAATAGATAATTATTGGTGTTTAGAAGAAGAGAGAGGTAGTTATATATTTTTAACACCTATTCATAATAGATTAAAAATAATGACACTAACAATAATTAAAGAGCTTCCTAAAGAAATAAATGAACAAATATTAGAAAAATTAATAATAGAAAAAATAAAGGACATATATACATATGAAAAAATTATTAATATATATGAAGATGAAGAAAATAATTTATATTACAAAGAAAAGTATGAGTGTAAGTGATAATACACATTTAAAATTGAATAAATTATTTATAAAAATGGAAAAAATACAAGATGAGATACAAAATATAATGCTAATACCAGAAAGTATGAGAATATCAAATAATAGACAATTAATAAAATTAAAATGTGAAATATTAAGATTTGAAAGTAGATATTTTATTATAGTAAAAAAAGAATTAGTAGATCTAGATATGGCTGAGAGAAGATTTGAAAAAATAATAGATAAAAAATAATATAAAAGATGCAAATTAACATATAAGTTAGAAATAAAAAAAATTAAGATATCAATAAGTGAATATATGGAATAATTAAAATCATTAATAAAATTTTTAATAAATGATGTACAAGATTTAAGAAATAAAATAAAAGAAATAAGAAACGATATAAATATATTAAAAATTGAAATTAGAGAATTAAAAAAAATTAATGAAGATAAAGATAAAAAAATAGATAAAAAACTTATAGAAGAATAAATGACTCGAATAAGTAAGAAATATATAGAAAAAGAGAATATATTAATAGAAGCAGGAAGTATGGATGATGAATTTAGAAAGAATATATTACCAAAAATATTAGAAGATGAAGAAGAATTTAGAGAAAAATCATTAGGAAAAGTAAAAGTATAAGAAAAAAAGATAAAAATGAATGAAGAATTAGATTTACTAATAGAAAATTTTGATCAATTAAGTTTAATTGATATAAGTGAATACCAAGTTTTAATAA